ATGGATATGACAATAGATGGATGGATGGATTGATGGATGGATGAATGGATGACGTTGGTCCAGAGTAAAGACGTCTATATTTTTTCCAGTCTCTTAGTATCTTTGACCTTGATAATCCTGGAATCAAAGGTTCTCCAGGAACTCTGCCCTAACAGCAGCTGAACTAACAGTAAAAACCTCAAACTGAAAACCAGTCACATTGATTCCGGACCTGTTTGTTTCTAAACAGCCTTTATAGATGTGAATGAGACCCAATTAGCAGAACCAGAGGTTCTAGCAGCACACATATAAAGCAGAGCAGCGCCTCACCTTGAAGTTGTGGACCTTCTCATACTTTGGCACCATGTCACTCTCCCTCAGCGTGGCCCGCCGCACCAGAGACGTGAGCTGTGAAAGGGCAAAAGATCTGATTGGTTGCCAGAAAGTGGAGGCGGGGGAGGAGGGCTTGGATGGTGCTGGTTTAACCGGGTCCGGACCGCTCCTGGAGGCTGCCAGGGAGGGAACTGAGCCCACGCTGGCATTAAGTCCCAGAGCAGCTGTAAACAAAGAACCTTTATGACCCGTTTTCCTCTCGTTTCGCCGATGTTGCTGCTTTTTGCCTCTTTTAACAGCGTATGACTCTGGGCTCGGCATAGCGGAGAATATGGAGAAGACTTAAAAATTGGGAGGAAAATAAACTTTAACGACAAAAAATAGTTTCCTTAAAAAAAAATAAAAGGCTCTGAATCAGTAAACACCCCAAAAAGTCCAAACAGCATCAAAAAAACAATCCGCCTGTTTCCCCACAACAAAGATCAGCCAATCAGATTACAGCGGCATATGGATGGAGCTCCACTTCACAACAAAAGCTCTTTTTAATCAGTCCTATGTTGCTAAAGTAACAAAAACTTTTCATTTCTTGGAAGCTGGCGGTAAAATTCCTGGCAGGTCGGAGTGATGTGACAGAACTCTCCAGTCTGGAGTAGGTGAGCGCTTCTGCCCACATGGCTCTCACTGTGTTAATCTGCTTCCCCCCATAGAGGGGAGGCGGAGAGAGATAGAGAGAGAGAGGTGGAGGGGAGGAGGCTGAATTAAACAGGTCACAATGACACAAGAACGAGCCAATCCCGCCGCAGCGCTTCCTGTTGTCTCCACGCCGGTTCTGCCACCTCGAAGCAGTGGGGAGGGCGTGCAAGCCCAGAAACAAGCTGTTGTTTAATTCATTCCTTCACACTTTTTGTTCCCCTCCATCCTTTTGTCTTTCTACCAGCTGAATGTTTCGCCGGAGTTTAACATCCTCTATCTAAGCTCTCGAAGATCTGCTCCAAGTGTCTGTTTACATCCAGCCAACAAAGGAAGGGCTCCAAACGTTACGACTATTTCAATTCGCAAATAGATGTCTGATTCCTCTTATTTATATCTAGTAAATAAATGGACATGCTTAAAGGTAATTAGGGGCAAATAAAGGTATTTAAAAATAACTTTTAGATTTACTGGTTGTTTTGTTCTGCTGCAGCAGTGCAAACATTTTTTCAAGTAGCTACCATTCAATACATATGCAATCTTTTTTATAATCGAGAGCTGGACAAAGCATCCCCAGAGCATGACACTTCTACCTCCGAGCTGCATTTGACCAAAAAAAACATAGCATGATTCACTTTTTACTTTTTATATCAGCAGCAGCAAGTCTGTTGTCACTACTTTGTAAAGATGGACTGATGTCTTACACCAGTATAATAGGTGCAGCCGATAATTTAGATTTTCAAAGATAAGGCATTGAAGTATTCCCTCTTAAAACAAGGAAATTACTGCAGGAAAACGTCTTTATTTAGTATTTCCCAAAATATAGACTGATACTGTTGTTTCTTTTTCTTTTAATGTCAATACCATACATTTTTGGGGCCGATTTTGTTTTTTTCTTCCTCAGTTTACATGGTTAGAATGACACATTGATTGAAAATGTTACATAAATCTCAATTGGAACAAATAATTAAGATTTATTTACAAATCAAAGAAAAAATAACAATGAAAAATGGGTGGAAGAGGACATAAAAAAAACTGTAATATTGGCCAGAAATATCAGCCGGCCGATGTATCTGTTTATCGTTGGTCTTTTGGCGCCATAGGATTGGTGTGTATCG